TCCCAGAGATGAGCGCGTCTGTGTTTTTTTTCTGCTCTGGGCAGCGGCACGGCCACAACCTAACTGCGCGATGCACAAAGAGCTCTCCAGTCTGCTCTAGACACCAGCATCGAGTCGGTTTTCACTGCTGTTTATCTAGGAATAAACTAGTAGATAAACTAACCCTAACCCGAACGCTGACAGGTGGATAATGTTAAAATGTCGCACGATGGCCAGAGTAGGTCCGTTTTCTAACGTAAGGGCTCCGTCGCACGTGAAACAAGTGCAGTTTATTGACGGTGCTCCCAGTCCCCCACACCAGAGAACACAACTCCCGAAAGAAACCAAACTGATTCCTCAGATGAAGATACACCCTCCTTCTTGCGTTGTCTCTGTCTTCAGTCGCACTACCTGCCCTAACAACCAGCCCCAGGATCGATCTGACCGGTTTCTCTGCCTGTGGTCTAGGGCCTCTGCTCTATCCACCTGCAGAAAGATGCTGAGCGTCCGCCCGGGCCCACTCACACCTCTGGGTCCCGCTGGCCGGATCGTCGCAAGGCCCTGTTGGGTCTGATCTTACCGGGTGTCGCTGAAACGGGGCAGAGGATACAGGTCGAACGTCGATACCGCCTCGAGCTTCCGAAAATCCCCACACACCCGTGGAGAAGCCTCTCTCTGTGGCACGATCGCCATGGGGCTGCTCCGTTCACTAGTCGATGGTTCGGTAACCCCTCAGTCTCTCGTCGCTTGAATCTCTGTCTGTAAGGGTCCAATTCATCTCTCTGGCACAGAGCGAAACCCTGTCGGTTTCGGTTCACAGCAAATTCAACACACAACACCGCAGACTGCGTATCCTCTTGTCTCTTGTCTCTTTAGACAATGTCCGCCTGGAATTTCCTGCCCTTAAACATGTTGGTATATCTCTGCAGCAGAACACAGCAGGAGCCTGGTTCAGGTCTTAGACTGAAGCTAACCCCCTTGGCTTTGAGGGTGGACAGTCACATTTCTGATATGTCTTAACGTATGGAAAAAACAGCAGGCGGAAATGTTGTTTTGGTCTTCAGAAGTCAGAATTTTCAGTTTTAGGCCTGTCAGGGTCCTGGGAATGATGTGAAAACCTTGTTCTAGGTGACTACTAGCTTGGATACAAATCAGGGATCAAATGGATCAATTAGAAAAAATTCTACATCCTGTTTTGTGAAGACTGGACCTGGAATGAAAAATATTGGAAGAACAATATTGAAAATAATAACAATAAAAACCTTTAGACACTGCTAGAGAGCCTTTATCTGCTGTTAGGCAAGGAAAAAACACCTCAGAGTTGCCGTCTGGTGTGAAAAAAGAAGTACTGATAAGAAACTGATAAGAAACCGATCGATTACCCCTTCTGAGTCAATGATTGACAGCTGAAAGGCGGGCGGAACACAGCCTGAGGCTTCCAGAGGAAGTCTCACCCCCTCAGGCCTCTGAATGGCTGGAAACACAGTGAATGACGGCGCTGTTGACCAATCAGATCGCCTGATCTCTGGCGGCCCTGCTTCAAACACGTACTACAGAGTTGATAGCGTGCAGGTGTGGAGATGAGCTGGTCTGGGTACTCTGGATATATATCAGCTTCGGAATAAGGTAAAAACATGGGATATATATATATATTTTGCTGGGTTTTGCTTTTGCGGTCTGGCTTATTGATTGCCTTATCGATGCATATTGGAAGTTTGAAAGTGCCTCATCAGATAGAAAGTGACTTTGTGATCGATTGTCTTGTTTTTTTTAAAAAAGAAACATGTTTTATTAAAGGTCCGTTTGTCCTTTTTCGAGTGATAAGATGGTTTTGTGGTTTTGTTGGTAAAAAACGATGAAAAATGAAAGGTGGATATCGATTCCCCCCGCGGACGTGGACGACCACGCTGGGGACAGCACACGCGTGGCCCTGTGGGGGGTCCGATGTGGTTTTGTGAAAAACAGTTTTTACACTTTCCGACTGATAAAAGCTTGTCTGTAAAGGGCTTGTGGTTTCGGTGATGTGAGACGAGGTGTTTTTATCACACACGGATATTCTTGTGTCTGTATCTTCGCAAGGGAAACACAGAAAGCCTTCAGACCAAACGCATCTTAAAGAGCCCGACTTGTGAAATGTCCCCAGCCTCCACATCAAGCTGTCAGTGAGCTCTTTCTCTCTGTTTGAACCTGTGTGATGACACTCTGCCTGGACCCACAGGGTCACAGCGAGAGAAATACAGCCCCTATATCACCAGAGGAAGAGCAGTCTCCATTACCCAGCCTGTGAGCAGGAATACTACAGCTGTGTGTGACCTCTGAAACCCTTTCTTGATGTCCTGTTTTCATCCAGGTGAGGTCAGCTATACTCACAACACTGCTGAGAGATTCAAGTGTTCTCAGTAAAAACAGCTCCCATGATGTGCAAACTGCTTGTTTACACACAGAGAGGACTAACACAGCTCTGCGTTGTCAATCTCTTTTTCCCACTGTGCACTGGGGAAGTAGCATTTAAACCACAGCACCCACAGTGCTGCAAGCGAGTGTTTCACACACTAAACAGCTCCTCTGACCTTTCCCAGCCTTGCGTTGGCCTGTGAAACCTTTCTTTATCTTTTTAATGATGTTTCAAGATGGCACCATTAGACAGGCGGTACATGGGGATAGGGGGGTGCTCTTCAAGCACAACACCCACAGTGTCTACAAGTTCAAGTTTATTGTCATCCTACTCATAGATGGGTATATGGTATAACGAAATGCGATGTAGCGAGCTCTCAGACGCTTCATAGTACAAAAAAACAACAATACACTTGTATAATAAAAGAAAGACAGAGACGACAGGTAGCAGGTAATGTGGAAAACAACATCAGATGTGCAGAAACACGCATCAACAGAATGAAATAAAGGACAGAAATGCTGGGGAGTGAGCTTCTTGACATGTGAGGTGTGTTTGAGTTTTTGGTGAGAGAGAAGGCACTCTGAGGTTCAGATCATATGTGGGAGAGGCTGGGAGTTTAATGGTTTGACAGTGCGGGGGTAAAAACTGTCTCTGAGTCTGGTAGTCCGGGCCCGAGTGCTCTGGTTCTGTTTTCCAGATGGTAGCAGATCATAAAGTCTGTAGCTGGGGTGTGTGGGGTCTTTGATGATGCTTAGAGCTTTCCTCAAGCACCGTCTGTCATAAATGTCCTGTATGGATGGGAGGGCAACCCCAGTGATGGACTGGGCAGTTTTCACCACCCGCTGTAGGGCTCTGCGGTCAGCAATACTGCAGTTGCCATACCACACTGTGATGCAGCCTGTCAGTGTGCTTTCTGTAGTGCATCTGTAAAAGTTAGTGAGGATCTGGGGACATATCCTAGTCTTCTTCAACCGTCTTAGGAAGTACAGGCGCTGTTGCGCTTTCTTGATCAGACAGGTGGTGTTGAGAGACCATGTGAGGTCCTCGGTGATATGGACACCAAGGAATTTAAAGTTACTGACCCTTTCCACTTCAGTCCCGTTGATGTGGAGAGGGGCATGTCCGGTTTGCAGTTTCCTGAAATCACCGATCAGCTCCCTGGTTCTGCTGACGTTGAGGGTGAGGTTGTTGTCATCACACCACGTTGTAAGGAGATTGACCTCCTCCCTGTAGGCCCTCTCATCATTGTCTGTGATCAGACCTACAACTGTGGTGTCATCGGCAAACTTGATGATGGAGTTGGTGTTGTGTTTGGCCTTACAGTCGTGGGTATAGAGGGAGTAGAGCAATGGACTAAGCACACACTCCTGGGGGACCCCAGTGTTCAGAGTTAGTGTGCTGGAGGTGTGGTTTCCAAGCCTGACAGCCTGAGGTCTCCCTGTCAGAAAGTCTCGAGTCCAGTTGCATAGGGTGGTGTTGAGACCCAGCGCACTGAGTTTCTTGACTAGTTTCTCTGGGATGATGGTGTTACAAGCTGAGCTAGTCGATGAATAGTAGTCCTGTGTATGTGTTCTTTTTGTCCAGATGGGATAGGGCCGTGTGTGTGGCAATGGAGACTGCGTCATCTGTGGATCTGTTGGGCTGGTAGGTGAATTGGTACAGATCCAGTAGTGTGTCTGGACTGGTGTCCTTAATGTGCCCTATGACCAGCCTCTGGATGCACTTCCTGATGACAGGTGTTAGTGCCACCGGATGGTAGTCATGAAGACATGTCACTGGGGTTTTCTTCGGCATAGGGATGATGGTGGTTGTCTTGAAGCAGGTGGAGACTACGGCTTGGGCCAGAGACATGTTGAAAATGTCTGTGAACACCCCCGCCAGCCGATGGGCACGGGCTCCGAGTCCTGCAGCCTTGCGGGAGGTCACTCTGAGCACAGATCTCCTCACCTCGTCTGCAGACAGCGAGAGCAGCTGGTCAGCTGCGGAGGGGGCAGCTCTGATGACTGGTTCTGTGTTGTTGGCTTCAAACCGAGCGTCTGAGGTGTGGAGCTCGTTGGGCAGGGAGGCATCATGGGCAGGTGCACAGATGATCTTCCTCGTGTCGTCTGTGAGGGCCTGTTGACCTTGCCACCTGCGCCGTGTTCCTCCAGTTCCTGTTTCAGGGTGATGATTGATGCTGGCTGACTTGAGTTGTGATTTATTGCCTGATTTGAATGCTGCAGACCTCTGTTCATCCACGGTTTCTGTTTAGGAAATGCTCATTACTTTTGTGTCACTTTGCCAGCACATGTCCTGATGTAGCTAGTGACCGATGTATATTCCTGTGTGTCTGTGTGTGATCCCTGTGTGGCTGCCTCTTTCAACACACCCCAGTCAGTGCCTTCAAACCAGCCCTGCAGCAGTGATTGGGCTCCTTCAGGCCCCACTTTTCCTGTCCTGACTGCTGGTTTCACTGGTTTCAGTGTGCGGGGAGGAGAAACACAGTGATGTGGTCTGTGTCCACAGTGGGGGAGGGGTATGGCCTCTGAGCATTCTGAATGTTGGTGTAAAGGTGGTCCAGAGTGCTTTCTCCTCTCGGTGGGAAGGAGACTTGCTGGTATGGTATTTCGGGAGAAGGGAGTTGAGA